TATATATATATATATATATATACTTGATGTTTTTTTTCTCAGTTGCACTTACACTCGATTCACTTTGCGGCTTCTCCTTCACTATCTGGCACTGCTCGCGAAACCATAGCTGCACGCACGACCAACGACGGTGCTGCTGGTCCAACACGCTGGCTTCGAACAACGATCGACTTTTGTGCGTATTTTAAGTACAAATATACAGGAGAAGTAGGATCGGAATGATCATCAGTGTCTAAACGTGTCGATATCGAGTACCACAGTTTCTACGACGACGAGTCGAACTTGGTGAAACGATGAGTTTACAGGTCGTGACACCTAGCCTGATAACAAATTGATCCACTCGGAAGAACGTGAGCGTATCGTGCGACAACACCAGGCCGCACGATTAAATTGATCGCAGATTCGACGAGGAAATGCTAGCGATCGAAAGACAGAACGAAATCACTTCCGAAATCCTTTCAGGTTGAAACACTGACGAAAACCGGCCGCGAGACACTCGCGGCAGGTTGTGATAGAGGGAGTATGCACGAGGCACGACCAGCACTCGAGAGTGGGAGCAAAACCGGGACTGGGATAATAGGTTGACGTGCACTGTCCGATGCGCCTCCTGTGATGGCCCGCGAACACGAGACACACGCGAAATCGTTTCAGGAGGAAGGGACTCGAACGCGTGTATACGACAGCTCGACCTCGCCTTGCCTCACCACACAGCCCCTACCCTTCAGACAGAACAACGAGAAATTAAAATAGATCGGCTCCGGTACGTTGTTAGCTCGTTATTCGAGCAAATCGGACAAAGTCGTGGAATCGACAGCTCGACAGATAGATGAGAAAGATGGATTTACACGATTGCAGCGGTTTCCGTCGATTTTTCTTTTCTTCTTTTTTTTTTTTTTTTTTCTTATGATCTTGCGAATTTTCTTTCCTTGAACTCTATTCTGCGGTTCACCTCACTGTCCTTCTAGGGTTTTCATTTGTATGGTGAAGTCCAACCGAAGAAGTCCAATCGTTCCGATTTTCGCTTCTCTCTCTCTAATTTTCGTTTCGTTGATTCTTTTAACTTTTCGAAGGCTCGTCCGAATTCTCCCTCCCCGTCTCTCGTTCGTCTACCCCTCTCCGTCCGAGCTTCTTGTCGACGACCACGGCACAACCACCACTCGAGGAACCCAATCGTGTGCCTTCTCTCGCACACACCCTCGAGTGGTCTTACTCTCTTTCCACTTCGCTTTCACTGCGTTCGCTCACTCTCCTCACTCAACAATCCCAGAGGAAATTCGCGACCAAAACATTCGAGACGAGGTACTCCCTGCAGCCAACATGTCGTCTGCTAGACCCACCAGCGCGACAGCTCACCGCGCTTAAGATGGATCAGGCACGTATCTTGGTCCCTAGGCGCCCTGTCCAACGGCTCAACACTATTTCCTACACTTTTTCACTCCGCGAGAAACCTTTTCCAGTACGCACACGTTTCGATACAACACTGTCGCACGTTTGACTTTTTGTCCAGAAATTTTCGACAAATTCACTTGGGGCCAACAGTTTGCCGTGTGAAGTGTTAATGCATTGACTGTAGCGCTATCTATTGAAACTAAATCGTTATGTCGCGATATGTTCGTATACACGCATGCATTTTGGCATACTCTCTGATTCAGCCATATGTGTTTAGTTCCACAGATACGATAGGTTGCGCTGCGATCAATCCATACGGACGTGTGCACGTATATATAAATATTCACAGGTGCATATAATGTCGCGTCAAGTATAGCGTAATATGTATGTACCTTTTTTAATATCAAAATGTAATGCTTGATATTAAATATAAATGAAATAAAATATTTCTTTTTGACCTCGCAATCTTTTATTTCTTCTCCTTACCGGTATTTAAATTATTGCCAACATTGCTAACATTATTACCAACGTATAATCAACAAACATGGCTACCAACAGAAAATAATGTAATGTTTAAACTAGAGTAAAAGAAAATTTTGTATGCATTTATGTATGTATGTAAATATGCAACATTTTATGTTGAAATTCAGTGAATCCAATCGAGTACAAGATTTTATTAAAATACGCACAATGAAAAGTTTCTGTATATTTTTATGCAAAAGAAATTATAATAAACATATTCTGTAATTACATTGTTTATCTTATTTTTATATTAAACTAAATTTATCTTTAAATAAATCATATAAGTATTATTATTACAATTGCAATTACTGCTATTATTATTTTCCTTCATGGTTACACTGTACTTCAAACCAAAATTGTATTCACTTACGACATAAATCTAGATACATATTCGACGCATGGAAATGTTAGATTTAATGCAATAACTCATTTAACCTAGGCTATATATGTATAACAAATTGAAAATATCATTGCATACTTGATATTGATCGCATTTATGATTTACAATTGGAAGTGTAACCTTATGCAAAAGTTATGTAAAAGCTTATTATTACATAATAAGTTGATTTTCATAGAGTTACACTCTTATGAGACAGTACATAACATACAGAGCTATTGTAACAAGATTTACAACTCAAAAGTGGTCTATGACCAGAAGGCCACTGCATTCGCGAAAAAATATCTTGTAACGAAACGTATACTTGAAAATGACTTTTCAGAACGCAGATATATAGTGAACATGCCATTAGACGGCCTGCTTTAAATAACGTATTTCTAATACATAAAAATAGAATGAACAGCATTGTTTCCTCAATATCAAAGGAACTTGTCGACAATAAAATGTCATGCACAAAGCTATGCACAAATACAGATATTTTCATTTTCAATGAATGGCTATGAGACCTGATTCCAGGAGTTTTTGCAGTTTTGCCGCTACATCTTTATTTTTCAGATGGCTATAAATAAAAAAGAATTATGTTAATATAAAATAAATTTCCTTCTGATATAATAAATCTGATGAACCGAGTATACTTACTCTTGTAAAGCTCTAGGATCACTTTGCATTTGTTCTAAAATAAGTCTCATTGCAGGATCTCGTAATATACTTTGAACTTCTGGATCCGCCATTGCTCTTTTTCTTACTTCCTCAGGATTTGAACTAACAGAAACAGCACATGAACGATATCCTTCTAATGCCTCGCTATTTGAAGGATCTAATTCCAATGCTTTTTGATAAGCAGTAAGTGCTTTTCCTTGTTGTTGCATTCCCTGTAGTATTTTTCCTTTTCTTATCCAACCTTTGATAAATTTGGGATCAATTTCAACGCATTTCTCGCAGTCTTTCAATCCGAGATCAAATGCTGCTAATTTGGTATAACAGGCAGCTCTATTGCTATAATATTTTGGATCATCGGGATTTCTTTTAATAGCTTCTGAGTAATGTTTTATAGCTGCTGGATAATCACCCTCCTTGTATTTTTCATTTCCAAGTTCTTTTTCTTCTTCTGCTTTTACTGGATCGATATATGCTTTCCTTTCTTCTTCTTTGATAATTTTATCAATGTCTGAAAGAAGAGTTTTAATTTCGGGTGTTCTATGTTCCGACATGGATTTTTCATAATACACCTTAGCTTGTTTCCAGTTTTCCATTTTTTTGTATGCATGTCCAATTCTAGTAAATGCTTTAGCTATTAACTTGAAATCTGCTCTATTTTCTCTTCCTACTTCAATAGCCTTTTCACACTGGGCAATACATTTGTCATATTCTTTTTGTTCGAAATATACTGCTGCTATGTTCAGTAAGTAAATAATTTCAGTAGGATCTAAATCTACTGCTTTATTATAGTGTTGAAGAGCTATTTCAAACTTCTTTTGTTTATAAGCATCATTACCCAATTGCTTCTCACGCTGTGCTTGTTTTTGAGGGGTATTACAATCTTCTTTTTTCTGAGGTTTAGGTGGTTCTTGTTTAGATTTTGGAAGTTCTGACTGCTGAAGTACATCAGTTTCCATTGACATTTCTGCATCAGTATCCATATTCATTAAAACACTAAAAGTTGTATGTATTCGCTTATCTGATAACATCTCAATAGTAGCCTCTGAATTATTTCTGAGCGTATCCAAAAGTTTTAAATATTCTGGATCTTGTAAAAAGCCTTTGGTTCTAGGATCGCTTGCGAGCTTCACAAATAAATCTGGTCTATTAAAAGCATCAGCAACCATTAAACGCTGAGCTTTAACTTCAACTAAACTATTATGAAGTTGAATATTGTCAGGTTCGTATTGTAAGCCAGTTTCATATGCTTTGATAGATGCATTAAATTTGCCCAAATAAGCCAATGCACTGCCCATCCGTGAATATCCTTTTCCCCAATCAGGCTTTAATTTTACAGTTTTTTCGGCATCTTCCAATGCTTGTTTATACTTTCCTGCTTTAGCATATGCTGCAGATCTATTACTATATAAAACATGATTGTTTTTATCTAAATCAATTGCTTCTGTATAATACCTAATAGCTTCTTCATATCTTCCTTCTTGCAGAGCAAAATTACCTTTTTGTTTTAATGCATTTATCTGCAAATATTTAATAATTTGATATTATTAAATTGGAATTTCAAAAAAAACAAGCAGTAGGAAAGATCAAGAATGTACTTTTTACATAATTGTAACATTAACTTTGCAACGTAAAATGTCGTTTATTTAACGAGCGCTAAGAATATTTTATATATAAGCGATTATAGTATCAAAATAAAAAAATTAAATAATCTTTATAGCAACCTAATAGTATATTTGAGAAAAATATTGTATCGAATAATGAATAAGACAATTTTTAAAGCAAAGCGTGTTCAATTAACGATATGAATAAACACAAGTGTTTTTCAAAACAGCAACTTTTTAACCTTAGAAAATGCGTGATGGCAATCAACGTAACAAAAATATTTACCTGGTCCATAACGCTTAACTTCGGAACAGTGATACTTTCGTTCTATTTTTCGCAATTCGTTCTTTTATGCTCCTAAAGATACGTGATGAATCGTGAATGCACACTCTTGAGCCGGCGCAGATTTTCAGAAAGCTCCAGAAATGAACAACTAGCGCCTCTTCTTGATTGCAGAGAACTAGTTACAAGCAATGTCTGTTCTCGATTATGTTCTATATTTTTCTAGTACTTTCGAAAACGCGCTCTATCTTTTTTTATATGCGAATTTATTACGAATCTAACTTTACATTTAATCCAAGTGATATTATATTTGTTTATAAAATATTTTCTATTTCACAATGTATGTACATAGACTGTATTCACCAACATTTTGTCGATTTTTAACATGTTGTAATATATAACGATTTTTTTATATTTTATCTATATAACATATAATATTATATTTTCATTTATATTTCATTATACTTTATTTTCTATTTTCAAACAATCATTACTATATGTACATTGTTTCATAATTTATAATTTAACTTTTAAAAATATGTTGAATAAATTAATATATTTATAACGCATTAAATACAATCATGATTATATTTCATTACATACATATCTACGTCTCTGATTATTTAAAGTCTTTTTAAAAGACTTTAAGCTTTTTTAACTTTTTATTCATACTTTATATGAGTTACAATTATAATTTTGATATATATATAGATTTGCAACACATGAAATTAATAAAATCTAAAAATACTTATTATCAGATTGATCATAGAAATTAATTATGTAATTATGTAATTCAAACATGGGTTAGGATACTATAGTATCCAGAAAGTAAAATTTTTGATTTAAATTTGTCATTTTAGGGAATCATTGAAGCCAAAAATCAAGATCATTTTCTTATGGAACAGTTTTCAAGATACCCAAAAAATAACTTGATAATATCCAGTGAATTTTACCGATATAGACATATATGTGACACAGTCACAAGCATACAACCGCCGCTAAATAGTCTATTTAAATCTCATATAGCTAAAAAAAAAAAAAAAAGAAAGAGATTTGATTTAGACTTCATTTCACCATAATTTCATTTCCGTGAAAAGTGACCTTGATTTTCGATTCAACAATCTAAAATTCTCGGAATTTGGATAAAAACAAAAAAAATCATACATGTGTATAGAAATAATTCATGGGGATAAATACGTTTGAAATATAGACAACTTTGGTAAAACGTCCGCTATTATACGTTTGGTAAACGTTCAAGGTTGTTTGATCTGACATTATTTTTATTGCCACAGAATCTGGTATTTCCATCAGCAAACTGGAGTAACTGGGGAATCCCAGTTATTTGTCGTGTTGCATTTTTTTTTTCGTAAACACTTCGATAACTGTTATATTATCTGTGAAATTATTTTCTGCATTCGGATATTTTGTTATGTTATCCACAGTTATTTTTATATTGAATTACGAAACACATAATATTTTGTAAAAATAAATATGTAAATTTTTATATTTATAATGTAAAGATAATTTCGCAGGAATAAATAATTATTTACAACTGAAAGACTATTAGACGAATAATAGGATTGTCTCTTTTCTAAGAATCAAATATGGAACCTGTGCAGTTCGCAGACCAAACTCCCCCCAAAAAGGAATAAGTCTACAGACTTCTTAGAATACCTAGACCATTACATGCTACGAACTAGAAATATCCAACTGCCGGTCCTTGCTCCACATTTTTACACTGGCTCTTACAAAATTAGCCATAACGTTTCATTCTCGTTTGCACTTTCATATTATATTTACTGTATTTATTATTCAGTAATTAAAATCAAATTTTAAATATTTGTTAATGCTTTCAAACGCTGCAAAAGAAATTCTACCTGTGATAAATTTTCTAAAATTTTTTATTACTAAAAAAATAATTATGTTAATAATATTAATGTTATCATTCTATTACTCTTGATACCATAAAAACAATATATGATATTAACAAACTTGACTATATACAATAGGGAGAAAGGGGACGAGGAAATTAATAAACGTTAAACGTTCATGGTAAAACGAGATACTCTGACATAATAAAATCCGAGCACGTTTTCTTATAAATAATCCTATTTATAAGTGTTATTTAGGTCTCTTTATCTAATATATAAATATATGTATGTACAACCTTAAAAAGAACAATGAAATTACGAATGTTCTGTTACTATTCTTTCTATTATTTTTTAAAATCAGATATCAACGTAAATTCTCATTTTAAATCACTTTCAAACGTACAGATATCACTACCACATTTTCACACCACTCGAATAAAAATCTTTGATCTTTATATATATATAAAATCTTTTTCGTCTATATTTACAGAACGAGATCCTATGGTCTCCTAAGCGTAAATGTGAATCCTTTACAGTCGATTATTTATATTGCAACAATTTTATTCGATATTGTTTCCTTCGTAGTATCGAAGTATAGTAATTACTTTTCGTTAAAGCATGTTTACGTTAAAGACCATGTCTCTGTTTATTTTTTGCTTCTTCGAGTATTCTTTCGCTTCTTTTCATTTTCAATACATTTCGCACTGATATTGTTAATTATCTTCAAGTAAACAAAACATATTCGACTTGATGCGATTAATACTTGCATTTGATGGAATTTGAATTATCCCTATCTACTTTATGTATCTGTTTCGCAATATTCGCGGTATTCGCGTAACCACGAATAACCATTTCCTAAGGTATCTTTAGTAAAAGTTTCTCGATGGCATTCTAATCAATGATTTAATTTTACAAAATCGATGGCAAAACAAACCGTATTGTCAAATTAGTCAATATATCGATAAATACTTCTATACTTTGACACCGACCACGTTTTGTCGAAGTCTCGCGATCGTGGGCAAATAATTAGCGGCAGAACTCTCTTCCTCGTCACTGCTATCCGAATCTGGTTCTGGAAGCGGTTCCGGTGTTGCGCCCAGTCTTACTAATTCCCTCGCGAGTTGACTATCAAAGCACAGAGCTAACTGATATGCTGTGATCCCGGCATAGGTCTGTGTATCTAGACAAGGCCTGCACTCCTGGAGGAGGAATGCGACCACTGACCGACACCCACGTTCCACAGCGAGGTGAAGAGCCGTTTTCCCCGCCAATGCTTCTCTGGCTTCAAGATCCGCTCCGAGACGCAGTAGAAGCCGCACAATCTCCACTTGACCCGATGAAGCGGCGATATGCAAACACATTTCTCCTGAAACGTGAAGTATAACATCTACGTAAAATATACACAGAACTATTAACATATATGCTTTACATATGATAATTATGTATGAATGACTGTTTTTTTCTTTCAAGTATTATTTAGTTATTCAAGTGTTATTATTCAACAATTAGAAAGAGGATATCGAACGATTTTAATAAGGGTAGAATCGTGTACTTCATAACCAAATCACATGCTTCTAGAAGATATAGATAGAACTAGGAAGACGCGGTGAATCATTATCGTCGGAGGTTTGGCTGGCGTCCCGCGGTCCAAACTAGGTTCGTACCGATCAAAGTGCTAAAATTAAGTCTCCCTTGTTACCAACGGCAGTATGTACATTGGCGGAATGTAATTGCGAATTTCATTGGAGCTGAATCTGCCTCGCAACAGGGGATTTTACAGATCTCTGAAGCTTCTGCGAAAATATTTATGTTTCTTATTATGTTATAGAACGCAAGATTGACGAACAATGCAGGAAACGCAATTATGCAAGAAAATAAATTATCACGGAATATTTCCCGTATACTTGAGCAACACTATAATTAATAATTATTGATTTGTTTCCCTTTATAATTGATCGTCGGCGTTTGAATAAAAATTTTCCTTTCCTCTTTCTCATTTTCTTCTTTCCAAAGAGAACATTCAAGGGTGAAAGCATACACGTGCCCACTGGTTTCCACGCCACTGTGGGGTTTCCCAAGTCGAATCAAGTCGAACTGAGGCGAGAATATCACGACACGCAAATAGTCGCACAGGTATTTTTAAATATCAAAAACATCTGCTTCGGGCTTTCTGTCTCATCGCGCGCCGCGCGTGATGTAACGTGCGTACACGTACGCACAAACGACGCGCCGAAATTCCGCCGCGTGTATTCCGAGCTTAATATCGCAACACTCTTTCCTTCTCATTTTCTTCTCTCTCTCTCTCTCTCTCTACCTAATTGCTTCATCTGTGAAATTCTCTGGCCACTGTCTCATCGACCGAATCACTGTGGCTACACTTGAACCCCTGACGTTAACACCCCATTATTGAATCGCACAACGCAAAGAGAATGTGCAACTCTCACCTTTCTAATTTAAGTTCGAGCATGTGTCTCTCGCTCGATAAAATTACACGCGCGAATGTTTACGTTTTTTTCTTTCAATTCAATCGATAGAACGTAAAGTACGTTGTACGTCACCGTTCATCTACGTACGATGCAACATGTGATGAGTACCAAGTACAATAATACAGCTGCGGTACATGAACAAAAAAAATTATTTCATTGGAAAAGCGTAACGTTAATTTATTTCGTCATGGTTCAAAATCAGCCGTTACGCCAACAGCTTGACGTCCCGCATACATCCATTTTACAAGCCTAGAATGGAGTGCATGGATGACGTTATGTGGGAATTCCGGAACTTTGGAAAAGAGCTAACGTTCATCATTCGACTATTTACGCATCGCGGTTTGAGATACTTACTTTGAAAACGTGGCAAGGAGAGAATTATTGCGAAAGATGCACGGACAACAGGAATGAAAAAGATTTCTGACTAAACTTTCCTTTGAAGCATCCAACACGCATTTAAGGTTTGAATTTTCATTCCAGTGGAGTCATTGAGAAGGAAGCTGCTTTTTTGAATTACAAAAGATCCTATTTGACAATGACAGAGTGTATTGATCATTTCTCTCGAAATATACCATGAATCGCGACAATAATGGCGACTTTGGCTTCATGGAATTTCCAAACGAATCAAAAGGGAATAACGGATCATTCTCGATGCTTCGATGAAATCATGGGAAAACCGCGCATAATCGTGGCTACAGAATTGTTCTCCGACGCGCATGTACGATGCCAATGACTGCTATTTCATGCGGTAAAAGTTGTTAGGATTTTCCAAGACGCTTCGTTTGTCCTTTCTGCGAGCGATACCAAAGACGCGTCACACGCGTTCCCTTTCTTCTTGGCCGAACATTTTACTCTAAACGTCTTCTCTCATTGTTCGTTACGACACGCTTTGTTCTCGGTATTTTTTGTGTCATACTTCACACGATGAAATGTTCAAAGATGATACAAATGCGTTGTTATTTTATTCTCCCATTCATCATCGCCGATTCAAGCAGAGAAGGAAAACACAACTAATTCATTGAAAAGTGAACGATCAAACAATGAAATGAAAATGAACAAGAATATAAATTTATTAATTACCATCGTAATTTCGCTGTTCTAAATTCTGTGGCAGGGGAGGTATCTTCCTCCCTGGGAGAAAGTAGCTTCTTTCGATGAGTGTCAGAGGATCGGTAAGGGCCTTTGCACAGGCAATATCTCCCGTCGCACACGCCAAGTGAAGAGCCGTGTTCCCGCGAAAGTTTCTCAATGTTGGGCTTGCACCTGCTAAAATTAGCCGTCTAACGATCCTCGGTTGCCGTGTCAATACGGCCAGGTGCAAGGGCGATTGGCCGTCATCGTTCAGGATATTTAAAAAATAGGAATGTGGTGCCATTCTTATTAAGCTAAACGCAGCTTCCAGAAAGCCTTGCACTATAGCTATGTGAAGTTGCCTAAGAGAAACAAAGGAGCAGAGGGAAAGCGAAACAAATTATTAATGATTCTGAGGGAAATATCTGCATAAAGGTGAGAGACAATTTATTGCAATTTTATAATGGATAATCGAGATATTACGTTGGTCATTGCACGAGATTATAACCTCGACACGTTATTATAACTTTTCCCCTCATTTTGCAATTTGTTTCACAATATTTCGCCATTTAACTGACGCGTGCAACATATTAATTTCTCAAATTTTATAATTGTCGTGTACAATAATATGAACGTAAGGAACTATTGTAAAAAAAGTTATGTAATTGTGCTCGAGATTTCCTTCAAAAAAAAGTTATCCTTCAAAGGCATCGATCGTATCGTCTCTTATCATTTGGTCTTGAATCTGTTTGAAAAGAATCTGACGGATGTCTATCTCGCGATTCAACGGTTCAACGTGCTTCCCGAGACGATTGGCCGATTAACGCGTATATAATGATACGCGTTAGGTGTAACAATATTTGCTTCGATTAACATATTTCTCGTATGAATCAGGAAAATAACAATTGTATTTGATAATGACATTCATTTTAAAATACTATTTCGTTTAAACAAAACGAT